TCTCGGGAACTAAAGTCATTCAAACCCGATATTACGGACTCGAGAAAGTGAAAGCAGTGGTCATACGGACCAGTTTCCAGACGGCCAAAGGCGAATTGATCAGGTCCATTTTGTTCCCCAAACCTGTTGACTTTAAATTCAATCGACATGTCATTCAATTTGTTTATATTATGCTTTGTATCGCAATATCGGGCTTTATATACACTTTTGTTATCAAAATCAAGCGCAAGGACGCCGTCGGAGATATCTTTATCAAAGCCCTCGATCTCATCACAATTGGTTCGTATCTTAAATACTTTATAATTTATACAATTGTTTCGGTCTAACAGTTTGGTCTTAAATTATTTTAAATTTATTAGTGCAGTGCATGCAAACAAGCATCTTATGTAATTTTATTATGTTAACTTTTAAATCAAGTCAATTTATAGGGCCTAGAAATGTGAGGCTTCAATCTTGATTAAATCTCTAAACCCTTATAGGTCCCGTTTTATTTATGATGATTAGAAGTTATAATTTATAATAACTTTATATTTTATAAATCCTTCGCATCCCTTACAGCGGTTCCGCCCGAACTCCCGGCCGCTCTGACGGTCGCCAATCTCTTTGTGGACCAGAGATTAAGAGCCCAACAAATATACTGCATGTCTCCCAAATCGATCAATATGTCCGGTTGTGTGGACTGTATTTGTTTCGACAAAACCGGAACACTTACCGAAGATGAGCTCAGTTTGGCCGAAGTGTTGCCAACAAATCTAACGAACAAACATTTCTCGGAACCAATTACTCGAGTAGACGAACAAGAAGTGTCTCCAGTGTTGAAATGTTTGGCGAGTTGTCATTCGTTGACAATATTGGACTCCAATATAATCGGCGATCCGTTGGATATAATAATGTTTGAGTCGACGAAATGGACGTTAGAAGAGCCAGAAGTGAATGACTCAAACAAATTTGATTTATTGGCGCCGACTATAGTGAAGCCATCGATCGATTCGGGGAAAGTGGGGCCAGAGGTCGGTATTTTACGTCAGTTCCCCTTCTCATCCAATTTGAGCCGAATGTGTGTCATTACAAGAGTTTTGGGCGAACACTCCTTTGAGGTCTACGTTAAGGTATTGAAAGACAAACATTTTTTAATGAATGATTTTGGGAATTATTGATTTTATTATGATTCCTGTGTTTAAAGGGCGCTCCCGAAGTTGTGGCCACACTCTGCGACCCAAATACTATTCCCAAAGACTTTGACCGCAGATTGACTTTTTATACGGAAAAGAGTTTTCGTGTCTTAGGTCTGGCCTATAGACCACTGGAAGGCATGAATTACAAGAGTGTTCAAAGAGCACAACGCGAAGAATTTGAAGTCGATCTCATTTTCTTGGGATTTGTTGTCATGAAAAACAATCTAAAGGATAAAACAGTAGAAACTATCGACACTTTAAATAAAGCTAATATTAGGACACTTATGGCAACCGGAGATAATTTAATGACAGCCCTATCGGTGGCACAAGAATGCCATTTAATCGGGAAAAACGATTCAATTATTATAATAGATAGCTATACAGACAGCGAAGGGGTGCCTAAACTTGAGTGCAAATACAGAAAAACTATTCACGATATAAACGAATCGCCAAAAGATGTGTCAAAAAGTATTAATTTAGACATTGAGAAGAAGTCGGGTTTGGCTCTAACGGGACAGACATTTAAAATAATACAGGAATACTATTCAGACCTTTTGCCAAAACTAATTGTTTGCGGCGCTGTCTTCGCCAGAATGTCACCCGAAAACAAACAACAGCTCATCGAATGCCTACAGAAATATGGATACATCGTCTCAATGGTAGGCAATTATAAATAAGTGTTATATTGTTTTAGTTATATTAAAATATTTTTTCTTTTTTACCCCAAAGACAGGTAATTCTTGTTGTAATCTTAAAGTAAGTGAAAGTTTGTTAACAAATATGCGGTTATTATTGAAGGCGACGGCGCCAATGATGTCGGAGCTCTTAAAGCGTCCAATTGTGGCATCAGTTTAACGGAAACCGAGGCATCTGTGGCCTCGCCTTTCACTTCCAAGATTCCCAATATATCTTGTGTTACGCTTTTGTTACGGGAAGGCAGGGCTGCGTTGGTCTCCGTGTTTGGTGTAATCAAATATATGGCCTGTTATAACATCACGTCTTTCATCGCTGTTCTTATCCTTTATTGGGTAACAAATATTACAAAAACTTGTTGTTAATAATATTTATTAATGTGATTCAAACATAAATTTCAGTTCGAGTCCAATATAACAGATATCCAGAACTTATACCAAGACATGTGTATTATATCTCTTTATGTAATTCTATGTAAGTTTCAAAAAAGCAATTAATCTCCACATTAAATAACAAAAACTGTTATACGCTATAATAGTTAGCCGAACGCCAGCCTATGAGCACCTGTCACCCCGAAAGCCGCCGACCAGTCTTATCAGTCTCTCTCAATTGACATCAATCCTATCCCATCTGCTTCTTGTGCTTATATTTCAAGTGACGGCAATTTTACTACTGAAGCAACAAACGTGGTATAACGTCCACATTCCTGAAGAGGTCATCGATTATCAATCGCATATCAATTATGCCGTTTTCATCGTTCAAGTCTTCCAATACATAACACTAGCGATTGTCTTCTCAAAGGGTCGTCCCTATAGACAGCCGTTTTACACTAATAGTAATAATTCACTATTAATTCACAACAATTAATTGTAATTTGTTTAACAGAATGGTTTACGGGGGCTCTCATTGTGACCATAATATTAACGGTATGGATATGTGTAGCGCCGGACAGACCTACCAATTGGATCGCAGAGTTCTTTGAAGTAAGTATTTGTTTAACAATAAAACCAAATGTCATATCATTTCTCTTTTCCAACGAACAGATAGAGACGGAAGGCTTTACCTATAAGTTTAGGGGTATTTTGATGTCACTAACTGTCGCTCACTTTATTTCGGCCCTATTTCTAGAGGTTTTATAATTGAATTTATTATTCTTTCAATTATTATAACTTATGATAATTTGTTTTCAGGAATACATAATCGGAAAACTAATTACAGAGAAATTGATTGGTTTAACGAAAGAGACTAAATATGAAAAGATTAAGAATCACTGTCACGACAGCGATTGGATCAGTTCTTAGTGATTATCGGATATAAATTTAACGCATTTAGTGTTTAACAACAGTTTTGATAATTTTATTGGCCGTCAATTAAAAAATTAAATTCAAAATAAATCAATAAATTGTAATATAAATATATATAACAATTG